CCCAAGCACCAAGAAGACAGAGCATCACTTGCCCCAGAGTCCCTATCTATACCTTGTGGCTAATAGCCACTGATGGACCTCTGTCAGGGTTCAGTCCCTGACACCTGACAGGTGGTAGGAAAGACCTGAGATCTTGGGAAGGAATAGAAGGAAAGGCGGGGGGAGGGATATGTGTTTTGCGCGTAGAAAGTCTGGACTCTGGTGTCAGATGTTAGGAAAGACCTCTTTGTGCCCAAGATTGCAGACAGTATGCAGTTAACTGGGCCACTGGTTTGACTGGATAAGGCAGCACTGTTTGAGTTGCTGCTGGCCTAGGCGATAGTCCCTGCACTCTTGCAGTCCTTGACCGGACCGGATCTTTCAGTTGTGCCTTCAGCGCTCACCCTGGCTCGGTCCTCCGCCCCCGTTACAGCCACGCCAACAGAGCGGTGAGTTTCAACAATTTTATTTTACAAAAGAACATTTCACATCCGCTGATTTCAAAGTTATCCTGTACATATTTATAAATGTGAACAGGCCTTCCTGGGAAGATGTGTGCAGGTTGCTATTGGGACGATGGGGGAGAGGCATCAGGAACACAGAGCCCTTTCCCTCCCAACAGCCCCGTCAAAGCCCTTGTCTCACCGTATATTCACCAGTCCCTCTTGTGTTGTTGCCGCTAGACACGGTTTCCCTCTACGACTAAGGAAGACATGCACGGACGACAGCACTCCCCACCCCACTTGTCCTGTTTTGGTAGGTCAGTGGGAATAAGATCACAGCAGTGTTCGTCCTGCCTCATCATCATCATCATCATCATCTTCACAACCTTTATATGCATAGCAAGCCTCATCAGTGATTACCCTTTCCCCACTCAAGGTAGTTAAAGAAAGCAACACAGATTTTGCTAAAAAGGGGTGGTGGGGGGGAACAGTGTGCAATGCAGTAGCTCCCCAGTTGCAATGCAGTAGCTCCCCAGTAGCAGGTACTCATTTGCATATTAAGCGACACACCCCTAATGTAGCCAATCCTCCAAGAGCTTACAGAGCTTTTCTTACAGGAGCTACTGTAAGCTCTTGGAGGATTGGCTACATTAGGGG